TCGGTGTCGCTGCGCGGCATACTACTTAGTACTCGTCTGCAACTCAGAGAGGTCGAGCGGCAAGAGCAACTTGAATGCGGCAATGTCATCGTGTTCAACTGTTACTTATATGGCCGCCATTGACAGAGGGCAAATGCTGTACTTATTCTGACAGCGTCTTTCAATTTGGGAACAATGGCTAGTTGCAATTGCGGAAGAAGCTACAAACGTCCGAGTCAGCTAGCCGGTGCATCAGTAAAAGTGCACAAAAGTCTTTCAGGTCTTTCTGGTCTTTGGGCAAGACCAAAAAGATCTGAAAGACCTGAAAGACCCAAAAGACACTGGGTCTTATTCCAGCAGCGTCCCAGTCTTGGAAAAGACCTAAGGTCTTTCTCAAAGATTATGAAAGACCACAATAAAGACCTGCTTTAAGACCTCCAAAGACTCCTAAAGATGCAATGTAAAGAGTAAATAGCAGCAGTAAATTCAATATAGCTAATACAATTTGGTTATTCAACTATGCTTATCCTACATTCCATAGCAGACAGCTGCGGGCCGGCAGGAGGTTTTGACCGCCTAACACGAGCCCTCTGGCCAGCCTGGCCGGAATCTCCTCTGACGACTCGGCGCCGTCTGGATCCCACCGAGCGCGAGGACGTTGGCTTGGCCGCTTGGGTGCAGAATGTAGTGAACGTGAGCGGCGCGGGAGTGGAGATGTTTTCGATGCTGCGGGTTGAATTGGGAAGGGACGGTGGCGGCGGGAGGCAGGAGGCATTGTGGCGGCCACCATTGGTTCCCGAAGACCGCATTTGGCAGCACCGGGAGCCCGCCGAGCACGCGGACATCGGCAAAGGGTGGGTTCAGTGAAAAAATCAAACGCAAACACGACACTCACCAAGCGCCGGCACTGAGTCAGCATCCTGCTTCCCTACGCGGTGTTGGGGTTAATGGCAGGGGCAGAGAAGGGGTGCGAGACGCCGAGCGGAGGGACTTCGGCTAGGCTTGCAGTGCAGCTTGAGGCTTGACGGCTTGAGGGTCTTTGACGCGCATTTGAGATGGAAAAGCTTTCATTTTGAAGCCAAAAGGCATTGAGAGTTGAAGAACTTGCACTTTGGGACGCTTGCTGTCGGAATTGAGTCGATAATGGGCGGGAATGGACTTTGGAGGTGGCGGGAGATGGGGGGAAAGGAAGAAAGAAAAGCGGCGACCAATCGCCGTCGCTCATCAGCCATCTGTCATTGACGTGTCATCGATGTGACACACATCAGAGAACTTTAGGGCCGTATTTGATCACTGACATATCATGATATTTGTGAACTCAGAACTCAGAAACAATGAAATAAACCTTTTACTATGAATTGTCGGATATGAATGTTGGTTCACTGGATGGTATTCAATATCATTTTCTTACATCTGAAGGGATTTTATTTTGCTAGTCCAAAGATCATATTAGAATAAGACCTAAGACAGCTTTCCAAGACCAAAGATCACACCTCAAAGACTAAAGACTCAAAAGACTTGGTCCCCAAGACCAAAGATCCTCCAAAAAGACTAAAGATTCAAAAGACTTTATGCACCTTTTACTGATGCTGCCCGTCCCGTTCCCGCCGCTCGACCCGCTCTCCCCCATCCCTTCTCCCGAGGTCCCGGCGCCTTTGTTCACTGGTACCGTCGTGCTAAAAAGGTGAGATTTCAAGTTGATTTCCGAACGATGGCCAACTGACCCGGGCCCAGTTGTCTCGTTCAAGTCCTGCTTCATAGAAGTAGTGCCGCTGCTCTCGATCCGCATTTGGAACTTGATTCAGCTGCGTAATCCTAAGTGTCCGAAGTCGTTGACAATGCCTCCAAGCTGGCAGGCTGGGCGGTGTGTACTTACAAACACGTAGAAAAGGCGAGGTGCTTCAGCGCCGATACTTATCGATGGGCCCGGTGTACTTCTCTGCGTCTTAAGAACCGTGCAGCTGATTGCGCGATTTGGAGCATCAGCGGCGGAATGAAGTATGCATGTAATTTGTGGGCAGTTCTACAGCTTGTCATCTCTTTCAATCGGCTCCTCGTCTTAAATCCTCGTCAATCCAGTAAGGCCCAACAGCGCGAGTTGTAGCTCCCACCTATGGTGCACCCTAAGACCCTCTAGTTAGAGGGATAGAGGGGGGTACTCTCTCCCTCTAACTAGAGGGGGTTGAGCCAGTAGCGGGCACCCCCGCTAAATACGGCTACCAAGGCCAGTCTTGGTAGCGGGGAGACAGCCCCAGAGGCTGCCATCACCCTCCCGGCTGCCTCCCCGCCCCCCGCCCAGTGCGCCCAGTGCGCCCAGTGCCCGCCGCCGCCCGATGGCCTCGGTGTCGTCGTCCACGATCGTGACTTATGTCACCGATTGCTGATTGACGTCGCCGATCGCCGCCCGCTGTCGTCGGCCCTCGGATCTGCTTCCCGACCACTGCCAGACATCCCACCGCCACTGTCAAACAGTCCATCAACGTCGTCCTCGACGTTGAACTCGCTGGTAAGCTCAATTCTTCATCAATTCACATCAAAGAAATTGATTTCTGATAAAAGTTACTGATCGCAACACAGTGGCAGGGTAATCAATGCCATCTACTGATCCCGCCCTCCCCGACGCCTGCCCCCGACGCGCCCGACATGTCCCCCGACCCCTCCACCCCCAAAAATGAAAAAGTTGCGGAATGTTGGGAAAATGATCCCAGTACAAACCGCTAATCAATATCTTCATTCGTTTAAGAGATATTAATAAAACTCATTAACTCAATATTGTCATTAACTCAATCATTAATGGTGTTAACTCAATTCAACTGCACAATGGCTAGGGCTTGAATCTAAACATTGGTGGGCTTGAAACTATCACTAGTCAGCCTTTCTTCATGAGATTTCCATCTGTAAAATGGGCCAATTAGGTCTATATGACCCCATCATTGGAAAATGATCCAGCTCAACTTAGAGTGTATCTTCAAATATACTTAGTGGAAATGGGTAATATGGGGCTCACCTTGAAGGTAACATCCTAGGGGAATACAATCTACAGTATCAAGCTAAGGAGTCATTGTATACCCATTGTATGTAGGATAAATTGTATGTTTTACCCAAGACATAGAACAAATGACTGATATCTTTATGATTACTAGATGGATAATCCTGATCTAACTTTATCCTTGTAGGGCATGTGGATATCAATGATTCTATGGATTTCTAGCCTCACAGCCTCAGCAGACAACACTGAATTACAGGGGCTCTAGGGTACATCCTATCATAAGCTGTAGGGCAGATATAGGGAAGGTTAGAGGGTTTTCTGGAAGGTGTGAAGATCCATAACAACTGCCCTTGAGGATCTGTCTCTACACCTCTAAGCACCAGAACTATAGATGTACTAGATTGAGTATAGATAACACTGATTACAACATTGCACAACATCTGGTATAGCTATGGCAGCAGTTGAAGCTCTGTTAAGGTTACTTTGAAGTCCCCTGATAGCCTATACCAATTTCTTAGATCATACTTGAAATTTATTTTGAGCAAGTGTTTTGGTGCGGACAGTCCCTTTCACTGCTAGTATCCCAACCCTACCTTTTGGTGTAACCACTAACACACTTGATTACAACACATATATAGAGGTAAGACTCATTCCAGATACCTAAATATACTTCTCTACCACATCTAAACCATAGAACAAACCCCCTAGGAGTGGAATCTTCCATATAGCATTATGTGACATCAGTCACTTCTGAAGAGTACAGCCTAACCTTCCCCAGGACTGGTGTTAAAGACTAATGTAGCTATGCTGAATGATTAATGCAAGGCCCTCTACAGCCCAATGCCTTCCAATAGCTTATCTGTGACCAGATCCCTGAGGAATATGGGTATGCCACCTGTGACACCTGAAGGAGTGACATAGGAATTTCTGGAATTTCACCTAACATGATAAGCTATTTTTAGATAGAAAACTGTTCCTTGAAGTTCTCTGATACTTCTAACCCATTCCCCTATAGAATCTGGCAAAGTTTGAATGCTTCAAGGCCTATATAGCAAAATTTGCTATGGACAATTTCATATAGAATATAGAGCTGTAGTAAAGATATGGAGGTCATTAGGGTACTACACGCATGGCTCAGCACCATATATATTCAGCTCATTTGGAAATATGAAGTACTGACTGACATAGTCAGGTATCACACAATGATACCTAATGCTTGATCATGAGCCTATCTTCAGATCACTACTTCTCAGACTAGATGGAGTCATTTGAGAGCCTTAGAAGAATTAAGGAAAGCTGAGATCAAAGAGATCAATGAATAATTGAGAGAGATATGGTGAAATTCAGACAATTGAGTTAACAACATTAATGATTGAGTTAATAACAATATTGAGTTAATGAGTTTTATTAATATCTCTCAAACGAATGAAGATATTGATTAGCGGTTTGTACTGGGACAGTTTTTGTGACATTCCGCAACTTTTTCATTTTTTGGGGTAGGGGGCATCAGGGGGCGCGTCGGGCATATCAGGCAGGCGTCAGGGGAGGGCGGGATCAGTGGATGGTAGTGATGACACCGCCATTGTGTTGCAATCATCAAGTTTGATTGGAAATTAATTTATTTGATAGAAAATGATGAAGAATTGAGCTCACCATCGAGGGCAACGTCGAGGACGACGTCGGCGGACTATTTGACAGCGGCGGCGGGGTGCCTGACACCGGCGGGCAAGAAGCTCCGCGGCCGACGATAGCGGGCGGCGATCGGCGACGTCAATCAGCGATCGGTGACATAAGTCACGATCGTGACGACGACGCCGAGGCCCTGGGGGGCGGCGGCGGGCAGCGCGCACAGTGGGCGGGGGCGGGGAGGCAGCCGGGAGGGTGATGGCAGCCTCCGGGCCTCTTTCCCCGCTACCAAGACCCCCCTTGGTAGCCGTATTTAGCGGGGGTGCCCGCCGCTGCCTCAACCCCCTCTAGTTAGAGGGAGAGAGTACCCCACTCTATCCCTCTAACTAGAGGGTATTAGGGTGCACTATAGGTGGTAGCTCCACATCTCATCTGAATTCAATTCATATGTAGCATTGACACCAGCTAGACATGCACACCATTCTGACTTGGCGTTCCTGTCAGCCTACGGATCCACCCGCTGACCCGACTCCGCTGTGCGAGTATCTCGACGGCGAACCGCCTCTGCCGGCCCTGGTCGAAGCACCAGAGGATTCCCAGGACCATGAAGGACGCGACTGCCGCCACGATGGCTTGTGTCGGGGCGTCTGAGGACGCGAAGCACATCGTCAAGAATGCGATGAGAAACGTGAACGCCCTAAACGGGATAAATTGGTAAGAGCTGTAGGACAAGAAGAATGGTGACAGCAAACGCACCCCCACAGCAGTAGCGCAAATGGCAACGAGTACAGGATAGAGAGCGGCTCGAGGCCGAAGCGGGACTTGTAGTGGTGGTGGAGGTTGGTCGCCTATCGACATTGAAAATGATAGACGGAGGAATGATTGGGGCGTACCGCGCTGTAGAAACTAGAGTCTCGCCGGTCTCGTAGCAGACGTGCAAGAATGAGCCCGACGATAACGCTCCCAAGACTGGCGATAACAGAAATGTATATAGCAATTTGTGCGACAGAGCGCTTGCGGGAGTGATCGCCGTTGTCGACAATAGGTATAGCGAGGAATGCTATATTTGCGTTGAGTAGCACCGTTGCCTTGAGCCATCAGAAAAGGAGGAATGCGAGGACAGCCAAACACGCACGAAAAGGATTAGTTCTTGGTATTGGGTTATCAAAGTGTCCACCCGCTGGTCCCATGGTGCCCGGTGTAGTAGCTCGTCCTTGAAGATTTGCTCAAACGCTTGAAGATGCCTCATTGGAGCATTGAATAGCAATATTGATGCTGTTTTGATAAGCCAAGACGGTTTCTGCGAGCCCTTGTACACGGAATGGGTACTGTCGAGTCGGGCATTTGGTTCACCACAGAAGTTATAGAACTTTTCGAGCTCTGAAACACGAAATTTCAGCTGGGTGTAAAGACGGGGCTGTAGACGCAGACCAAAGAGCCACATAAACCTGGCTGGATCCGTTTCACATAAGCTTCAAGCAGTATAAAAAGAAGTTAACACGAACCGAGAATACACATGGATCCGTCACTTCGATTCCCAACAAAGTCTGATATAGTATTCAAAACAGAGAATAAGATTCTTGGAACAGTTACTCGCCGCTCATATTATTGACGACGGTCAGCACCTTGAGAAGGTGGTCGACTGAAAACGGGACTGTCGAGGTCGGCGACGTGAGCAGATCTGAGAAACTAAGTATGTATTTGACATCTGAAAACTGTAATGCTTACCGCCAATCTGGTGGTTCAACACATCCTGGAGGTCTCGAATATGCCCCGAAGTAAGAGCAATCGATGATGGAAAAAGCTCGCAGTGCTGCCTGAAGATTTGCTTCATCACATTCTAGTGAGGGCGGCAGTGTTTCTACATACCAGTATTGCGCAGTCAGTTCGAATTCTGAGGGTTATTGGTAAGCTTTCACAGGAGAGAATAAAATGACTTACGTATATGCGAGGCCGAAGTGACATTGTAAACCTCTTTGCTCCGGTAGAAGTGTTTCGAGTCAAAGGCACAGTCCCAGAACACGGTTCGTTCCTCGTGGTCAACGAAGTAATACCCGCACGTGTAACCTTCGGGGTTGTATGGCTCTTCAAGCTTGGCAGGACGGAAGTCGAGCACGATGTCCGCGTTTGGTGGGGCGAGGCGGTCGACAAGTCGAAGAAAACGAGTTGCGATGGCGAATATGGCGTCAATGTGGAGATGGGCGTCCGTGAAGATACGCTTGATGAATAGATTAGTGCTTCATTGACTCAAAGCGACGACGTCACACGCACTTTCTCATCCTGGATGTAATAGAGGGCGCCTTCTGGATGAGCCTTTGCTATCCAACCGTGTGGTGTCTTTCTGATGAAGCTTAGTACGGCAAGTTTATATTATGCCGTATGAACCTTTTGCTCTTGTGAGGACCGGGAGGTAAGGTGTACTGTGTCGGAACTTTCGTGCTGAAAATTTGGATCAGTGTCATAGACATGCATTGGAACCTCCACGCACACTTTCTGGCCCCGATAGTATCGCCGAAACAACTGCGGCGTGGTTGGAAAGAACCCTGGAATCGAACTCAGGGATGGTCGGTGGGAGGGGGTAGCTGAGGATAAAGTTTCCACGTCCGGCACACCGGCCTGAGGGTTTTGCTCGTCGTCCTCTCGAGCTTGTGCGACCTCGGATTTCAGTTCATCGTCCACCATAACCTCCGTCATTGCCCTTGTCCATTGCGGCTCGGTACTTGGAAAGAATGGGAGCAGCGACGAATCGGACGATCCTCGACTGGACCGGCGAGTTGGACGAAAGACCGCAACCAATGGTTTGTAGACACGAATGTGTAGGTTGCGGACGATGAACCAGATGAGATTCTTCAACGCAGTGAACAACTCCCTCAACGCTATCGGGACAGCCGATAGGAGCATATTGCCAGTGCCGATGACGTTGAGATGCGAAGTAGCATTTGACCTGCTATAAATGAGTCAAACAGACAACAATCATTCGCCACTGACACTTGCCCAACACAGGAACGCGCCTAGTCCGCCGCTATTTCCACAGTCGATTTCATACTTGGAATATGTAGATGAACGAATGATAATAGTGCGTTTCACAGCAGTGCCGGTCATAATAGGTCGAAAAAGCTGTCTATGGGCATCTTCGTATCATCCGCACCTGTCGAATTGTCATTTGCCCGCAATTATAGCACTTTCAAACTCACCGAGGGGATGCTGTCCACGAGCGAAAGAGCAAGACGACAAGATTTGTGAAGAGGGCATCTGACGATTGAGTATCCGCTCACATCAAAAGTACAAACGGTGGCGGCACCTTGTATCCACAGACCACTTCCTTGCTCCCACCGACACCAGCCACACAGACCGTAAGAACGAATGATTTGTTGCGGTCGAATTGGATACGAGTGTGCTTGCGCTCCTCTTCCACACACGCAAAAGGATGGAAGGAAAGTTGCATCGTTGCTTGAAATCGGGAGTAATGTCACGGTGTCACGGTCAGTCACATTGACCTGCATTCGATCTGCACTCTATGATAATCTTTGCTCAATCTGCAAAGGCACGAGAACGACGACTAAGAACGGGTTCAGAACCATTCGCCATGTCATTTCAGGCTGTTTCTGATGCGCTCCTCTCATTCCCTACGCCCAACGTGCGAATCTCGGACGAAGGCCGCCCAGTGGGCCAATTAAAAACCTTGTCTTGCCTGCGAAAACTTCCACTTTTTATGTCTTGCTCTCAAGCTCGGAGTACATGACTCACCTACTGAATTGCGACAACGAGCATGAGGCATCGATATCGAAGAACATCTTGAGCCTGCCTGTCAATGCCATACGAGTCTACGAGTAGTACAAGAAGAGCACTACCACCAGCCCGAGGCCGCCCTGCCCACCGACTTACAGTGCAGGTTCTGAATGCTTTTTGCCAAGCTTCTCAGTCTATTCGGTGCCGCATTCCGAGCGGTTCTACGTTGTCGTCCACAGAGACTGTTCCAATTCTTGCATTTCTGCTTTCGCAAGCTACGACGTGGACGAATGTGGTCTCAGCCCCATGTGCAGTTGCCACTTGCATCTCGCGAGCCCAACCGGCCTGCAGGGCCTGTGCCTCTCCAAGTTGCAGACTCTACCAAGCCCATCGAAGGCTTTGATGATACAGTCGACATTTCCGAAGCAAAATATCCTGTGATTCCTGTCCAGCCAGTCCAACCGTTGCCTTACCAGCCACTGTCATCAATCCCTGGATTCTTTACCACAGCTCCTCAGCTGTTCAAACGTTATAGCCGTGCGCAGAAAATGTATGTTGCTGTGATATTTTTTCGAATGTATATTAAATATAGAATAATAGTGCAAAAGAAAAAAAATCATATACTGTACCCTCAGGGCTTTCCACTCATACACGGTGATTTTGATTACATGCTTTTTTCACTGCTGATTATGAAATTTCAAGCCCCTGCCCTCCCGGATGGACAGCACATATACATCCTGAGGGTGCTCTATACTATTTCCATAGTGAAAGGGTAAGGCAATCTACAGTTATTAAGCATTGCTGTATCTCTCTGACTAAAATATATACAGAGGATCTTTACTGATGCACATCTACATCACCCTTCTATCCTGACAGCTACCAATTATTTCCTGCACCATGTTGAGCAGTTCTTTGGCCACTATGGTCACCCAGATGGTGATCTTGTGCTTGATTTTATCCCTGCCCAGCAAAACAAACCACATGATTCTCATGGATACACATGTGGCTATTACTTTATTAACCATGACAAGAGACTTGTATTCTGGGACTGTCCATTTGAGCTTAATCGGCTGCCTAGAACTCGGAAACTGTATGGTCTACAGTCAAGATTTCATATTGGTTTGTGGAAGTAAGCTTATTATGTCATCTAATAAACTTATTATTTATAGAATTTGAGTTGACAGCACAATATTGGTGAGTTTGAGCATGGTTGTGAGTTGCCTAACTTTAACTATGATAATGACTATGATAAGGACTCATCTGGAGCTCTTTCCTACTGCAATTGTTCTGACACATACTCATATATGGGCCTTGCGGGACACTATAACATTTCAAATGGGAGGTGAGCTCCAGGCTCCCAAATCAGAAATTTGGTTAACTGTGTTACAAGACACTCTGACTTCTCCTACATCTACAGTAGCTGTTTCCCTTGAACATCTCAATAATATGTTGACAATCCTCAATAATATGAGTGGTATGCTGTTTTAAGAATAGGAGAAGAGCTACTGAGTATTATCTAGATTCAGTAGGAGGTATCTGTGATGGATCTATGTGTATATTAGGTAGGGATATACTAATCTGATTCACTTAGCTTATAATCTGTACAGCTCGATTTATGCGTACAACAGGTAATAAATTTAGAAACAATAATGAATCATTGGCTTGCTTATCAAATTAATAGAGGTGGAAAAATTCTACAACTTCTATGGTGAACCATGTGTTCGACTAGAAGGCATCCAGTCTATCTATGCAGGATCTCGGAAGCAATCCTGGCTGATCAAAATATGGGCACCCTTGTTGTTTAATACCCCAATTGCTCATCTGGAGGCACTTGAGAAGTTGTTCCTAGATGAGCTTGTTCATAGAGGCCCATGGGAACGTCGAATTGCTGCCTTACTCACACAATGGCAGGAACTTATATTATTTGTAAGTCTGTTTTATTTCACATTTTATATTAAAAAACAATGCTGATATCATTTCATAAATACCAGGCCACTGTTCTTCTCAATGCTGACATGGCCTTCCTTGCCATTCCTGTAGTTGATAATGGCACTATGCTTAGAGTCAGATCTGTTTCACAGATCAGCATTTATATCTCAGTATGCTGCAGTTTAGGAAGTGCACTTTGTGGACTTGTCCTATCTAGGCTACACCGAGACCGCAGAGAGTATATCTCTATAACAGTAATTATGTCTTCTCTAAGGGATCTAATTCAATAGTAAAGAACATTCCAGGCTACTTATCTGCATAACCAATATGCTTCCCATTTTGGATTTGAACCTCTATCCATACTTTTTTCATTGCCCTTTGCTCTTTTACTATGGGGGTAAAGTAGCATTTTATTTAATTAAGTGATTGTGCTCAATTATGCTAGAACATGTGCATTTTTTGTTGCTTTCTTGAACATGTGCCTTCATATGTCAGATGTACGGACACAGGTTCTGGTTGCCACTGTGGCCTCTATAAGTGCCCTGGGAATCCTATGGTGTTTTGATCAAGGAGGGAAACGGCGAATTGCACAACTTGAGTCAAGCATACAGCATTATTTCATTTCTGTATTTCGTCGGAATTCTGACCATGCATAGTGATATGGGTTCTATAATCATATTACCATTAGAATTTTTGATGAATGATGAATTAATGTATCAATTTATTCAATTTGGCGGTCACACATCGCATCAGACCACTGGTGTCAAAATATTTTACCGTGTCACAACCTATTATTCAAATACCAAAATGTGAGACTGTCATCAGGGCATTGAAAAATTTTCCGGCGGCCCTGTGGGCTGCTAAGAGTGCTGTTTTTTTTTGCAGTCATATAGGGGTACCCAACAGCACCAAATTACAGTACTTATTATTTTAGACAAGGTATCTATGTTATATATTTGATTGAGGGAAAAATTCCTTTCCAAAAAAATTATATCAATCTGTCAGAGGATGAGAGTCCAGGTGCCTAGTTGATACTAAAGTCATGGGAATAGACCCACAGCCAACTACATAAGTACAGGGCTATCTGTGTATGGAGCAGTCACGTGATCGGTCATAGCCATCACATCACATGCTCCCCTTACATAACAAAGATAAAAAATGTCTTAAAATTTACTTCACAGTTGATTGCAATGGTACAGTAGTATAAACCTGCTAGGCAGAGTTTACATCATCCAGTCACAGTAGTTACTCTCTCTCCCCTGTACTTGTTCCTTGCAGAATACAGCACAGTTCCATTGACTTGGCTGTCTGATTCCCTCAGTGTTTCCTGGGTGGCCTCCAGGTTTCCAAGTAGCTTCCAAAAATCAGGATATAACTTTCTAATCTCCAGAGATGTCTGTAAGGGCAACTGTCAGGGGAACCTCCCTTTCGGCCCCTCGGAGACGATTCCGATTCCGGTCCGACTCCGGCTCCGACTCCGGTGATCGCATCACCGCCTCCGTCAGGCGCATCGCCGCCCCCGCCTGGCGATCCCCCTGGGACCTGGCCTGCGACATGGCGCAGGCATACTGCACGGAGCAACGATCAACCTTGGCGCGTCAAGAGCGCAGTATATAGTTCCGCTACCTAGCAGGCGGACCCTTAGAGTTTCTTCTCTTTGGATCCTCCCCTGCTAGGTCAGCCTCACTTGTATTTGCTTACTTCTATTCACTCTTTGGATCCTCCCCTGCTAGGACCTTGATCTCAGGCCTCCGGGGTTGCCCTTACAGCAGAAGAAACTCTCTACGGGATCAACCGGACAAGATTGCTAGGTTCGGCGCTGACTCAGGCTCGGAATACGAGTCCGTTCCGCCCTCGTCACCCCCCCTACCACTTGTCCCCTCCTCCTCTGTCACTCCTGTCATCCCCGCACCTGTCATGCCTTCCGGAGCTACTCCTGACGCTGACACTCGGCTGGATGCACTCGAGGCGAAAATCGACCGCCTAACTGAGGCCCTTACTCTTCTCACCACCCAGGCTTCCGCTGCCGCTGCCGCCGCTAATACTGCTGGCGGACCCCAAACAACACCCCCCCCGGAGACGTCGATTCCGACTCCGACTCCGGTTCAGGGCGATTCCGAGGCCCTCTTTGGCGACATCAACCTCGCCTCAAAATTGGTCTTGCGACCAAACCCTCCGTTCACCTTCAACGGCGATCGGAAACGCGGCCGCGCGTTTCTCTATGCGGTCCGCACCTACGCCCG